GGTTTAAGCAATTTGATTTTTGCAGCATATAGGAAACATTTATTGTTCTTTCTTTGTATATTTAAACACACGCAATAGGAAACTTCTCTCTAATAGTTGTACATGATCAAGATGGGTTGATAGAAGAGTAGGAATTTCAGAAAGATAGTGTGAAGTTAAATATAGTTTAGTGCTGTCAAGGTCTACAAAGTTGCATGTAAATTACACTTGCTGCCTTTAAAGTATCAATTTTGAAAGGCCTGGGATTTCAATCTGAACTCTTAAGGCTGGATTCTGCTCCTATTTACGTCAGTGGGACCTGGAACTGGACCAGTGTATTGAATGAAGGTAGTGGAGGTGATCTGGACCAGAATTCTTAGTTAAAATTTGATTACCTGTTTGGTCTATTTGAAAATTGCTCCCCAATGCAGGTCTATGGCAATACAGAATTGTCATGAAAATTCACCTGTCCAAACACAAAATGTATTTGCTTGCCCTTCAGCATGATAATGAAAGACCTTTAATACTTGTCTGTTTTAAAAAAAAAAAAAAAAAGCTTGTTCTCAGTGAGAAGAATTTCCAAAGGCTGGTATAAATATTTTATGTACTTTTTTTCAAAAGAAGTCTTGTAAATTCCTCAGTGGTCTTCATAGTTCTCTTATACTGGATGTAGAACAGTAATTGTTTGAATCCATGATTTAGCACTGTGGTATCTAAGCACTGTACAATTTTGAGAGTTCCAAATCTTTTCTTTAGATTAGTGGAATATGTTCATTTTAAGGAGGAAGTGGATTTATTTCTTCTTTTGCCCTCAGATTGAGCAACTCTGGCCCATATTCTCTCCTCCCCCCCCCTTTTTTTTAAATATGCAGAGGGGGAAAAAAGCAACGTGTTCTAATTGGGTGAAAGAATTCTTTTCTTCCACTGGAATGGCCAGTGGGGTTGCAGCCCTAAATTAATGGCTCTCCCAAGATCTGTGGAGATTCTGCTGCCCTGCTAGCTGTCTGCTCCAGGCAGCATGGTTCTTCCCTCCCCTCTTCCTTCCCGGTGGCTGCACAGTAGCACCTCCTAGGTGGAGCTCACAAGTGCTAATGCTGCTTCCAGTAGCATTAACATTCACCCTAAGAGTGAAATCCTGCATCATTTCAGTCAATGGGCATTTTGCCACTGATTTAAATGAGGCCAGGATTTCACCCTAGATATCTATGGAGTGAGCAGGGGAACATTCAGAGATTATCTGGCCACTCCCTCTCAGTTCTGTCCTACATACCTGTGGAGAAATGGAGATCCTTGCCAGAAGTTTAGTGGAGGTGCTTCTGCGAAGTGTTAAGGAGGTATGGGAGTGTGGCAGGAAGTGTGCTGTGGAGCTGGTGCTTCTAGCCTTCCACAAAAACATGCTCTCCTGTGTGTCTTACATATTAGGAGGCACAAGTAATGTTGTTAATGACACGCACTAGGCTAGAAATAGTTGGTACAGTTTTGCTAGAGCAGAGTCAGTTTAACATCCCTATGTTGATGGCATGTTTAAACAAGAACAGTATATGTGATCAGCAGGTAAAAACCTCGGGTCTGCTTCACCTCACCATGGCCATACTGCTGGTATTTCCAGGCCTTTTAAAATAATCCTCTAAATGTAGTAGGACTATCTAATCAGATGTCAACAGGGTTGTAGAACTGCCTGTCCTTTAGACAGTTATTCATGTTAGGGCAGTTCAGAGGTTGTCTTCTGCTCTCTTTCAGAATACTGTTTGCATTTTTCTATTAAAAGCTCTTATTTGACCTTTGATATATGTAAACAGCCAAATTTTGGAGCATGATAACTGAGCCATATCATTTCCAAATCACTAAAGTCAAAGGTTGCTGAGATCAGGGACAGCTGAAGGTACATGTGTGAAGCAAATGATCTTTCAGTGTCATGCTACAAAAATTAGTATCTTACTAAGTAATTTTAAGAATTATTATTACAGAATTAGTAAGAGTTCTTAACATTTTCTTCTGCTGTAAATCAAAAACAAATATCCCTTTTGGAATAGGGGAACATGAAATTAAATCACTGGGAACCCTTTTACCGACAATGTTCACATATTTATATTGTTTCCATTGCTCAGACAAAAATCCAGTAAACAATTTCATTGATAACCAGTGAAAATAGAATATCAAAAAAGGGTATTTTTAAATGAGCAGTGGGAAGTACAGTAGTACATTTTCATTCCATAGTTGATAGGATTACTTTCATACAGTATTTGACAATAGTTTTCATATACAGGGGATATGTTATCTCAACAAATGCAATACTAAGCATTATGCATTTAACAGAGAATATTAATGGGTCTCTTGTTCCAGTCACATGTAATAGATTTGCACATGCTACTATCATTAATATTAATAGAAGATACACAGACTGTGCATCAGTGGGGGAAACATTCTTGTTGTATACACCTGCTCCAAGGAGCATCCTTAAATGCACTAATTGTGTTGCAATTTACAAGTAATCATTGTACTAGATTATTTCATTTTCTAACTTTGCACCTTATTAAATAAAATAAGTTTATATCTTTTGTATAACTGAAGTTGGTTAGTGCTTAAGGACTGAACAGTCTCCTTAGGTAAGCTTAGAAACTAAGCAATGTAGCCATGCTGTATAAGAAGCCCATGGATAACTTCTTGAAGTCTTATGTAACTGATTCCTCAAATGAAAAAATAAAATGAGCCTTCTCAACCTACTTTGTATTACACATTTCTATGCACAGAGGCCTCCGCTCTGGCATATCATATGTACAATATGCATCCTTAAAACTAAAAGTGCCCCTTTGCAGGCTAAGGAAAATTTGACTGATGAGAGACATAAGGTATGTCTATACTGCAGTATAGACACTGGCGGCTGGCCCGTGTCCGCTGACTTGGGCTTACAGGGTTTGGGGTAAGGTGCTGTTTAATTGCAGTGTAGAAGTTTGGGCTGCAGCCCAAGCTCTGGGACCCTCCCATCTCACAGAGTCCTGGGCCCAGGCTCCAGCAAGCCAGAAGGTACACAATGCAATTAAAAAAGACCCTCCGCACTAGCCCTGTGACCCCAATTCAGCTGGCATGGTCCATCTGCGGGTTTAATTGCAGTATAGACATACCCTTAGAAGGGTTGTAGTAACATTATACATGTATCTATACTGTGTCTCACAAAAGACACTTGTATAATTTTTATTAGCAATGCAAATGCTATTAAATGCTTTAGTGGCACTTAAATCTGTCCCCCCTTGTCCTTTTACCATCAATGCTAGTGTTCTAATTAGCTTGGTTAGGTGTATTTTAGGATTTTAAAGTGTTAGTGCCTTGTTTTTAAACTGTAGTCCATGGCATTCTGCCTAGCTTAAAAAAATCTATTTTAATAAAATGATATATTAATGCTGTAGCAAAGTGATCTATTTGCTGTATTTATGTATCTAACAAATGCAGAAATACTACACTATCTGCTTTCCATGTGAAAAGCAGTATTAAGACAGGTTTGTAGTCTTAAATACAGTAGTGGCACTTTATTTTGCATACTCTTTGCATAGTTAACAGAATGCTATATTTAAAATACAGGTAATTCTACAAAATTTTATAAATAAGTTTTGGGAATTAGTACTTCTAAACTAATCACTTACATGCTTAGTTCTGTCATTTCAGTTTGATACTCTCTCTTTAGTTTACAAAAGAAATAGAAAGTATGCCCCTTTGCCTCCACAAATGCAGTTTCTTTAAAGGTAACAGGCATGGTCCTAGTTTTAAAGTTCTGTCTACTTCATATAAAGCTCTCGCTGTACATTGTGCTGAAGCTTTATACTGAGTAATTTTGCTGTACATTCTAGTGGAAAACATAATAGCAAACTCGGAGCACTAAAGTGAATAAAACTTGATTTTAAAAAAGATTCCATTCTCGTTTAGCACGCTGTCTTAAGAGGTGTAATTTACTTTTCAAATAAATTAAAAAAAAAGGGGGGGGGCATTTTAAAGCAGTTCAGAAATTTTCTCTCCTGTAGAGCTCAGGAACATTGCAAGAAAGGGGAATCTTAAGGTGAAGCTACTGAGTTGTTGGCTTAGGAGAATCTCTTAAGAAACCCCACCTCTTTCAATATGCTACTCAATATGTGCATTGAATGAGGCCCATAAATAATTACAGAAAGCTTTAGAAATGTCTGTTTGCTATTGGCTGTATTTATTCAGTTTAACAAATGGATGTTTTTAAAAATTACTTTTTTTGTGGCATTACTGTAAGTAAGTGAAGGTGACTAGAATGCAATAAGCAAACCACCTTGGGACTTTCACTGGATCTAGTACAGAATGGGCATAAAGACTGAACTGCCTTCAGCCTCTAGAGATAGTCCCTGGAAAACAGGCATGAGACACTGAGCCAGCGTGTAGAAACTTGCACTCTCAACAGAAATTAGAAAATATTTGTATGAATTCTGAATTAAATATACCAACCTCACCATTCACACTCAATTATCTAACTTTCCAAGTATCTGTAATGAGGGTAATATACAAAATTTTTGTATAACAAAATATACTTTGTTCCTTTATATTGCCAGTTGCAGTTTAGTATATTAAAATAAGGAACAGTGATGAAATTTTATTTTAAAAAGTTCTGAAGTCTCAGTAACATGAGGCTAAAATTCTATTACTAAGCTATTAACTGAGAAGTGAGATGAGACTGGTTTTAAATGAAAACACACAATCTAACCTTTGATATTTGTAGGTGTTGAGGTCCAGGATATAACAAAATATCTTTGTTGTACTTAAAGGCCTCTATCAAATTTCACATGGCTTTAATGAATAAATTATTTAACACGAATTTACCCACACCAGGTCCATACAAATTCAGCTATTTAGTTCATTCACTGTAGGCTGCGTATTTCTATATTAACTGGGGCTCAATGTAAAAAGTAATTTTAAACAATTGTATCATTGGTTGAAACATAATTGGTATCCTTTATGAGCCAGGTAAGTTAGCAAGATCACTGGGAGAAGAAAATATCTTATTACAAGTATTCGGTTCATGGAATTTTATTGTCAAATAAGGCCAAGAAACAGTCTCATTACACATGAAATACTAGCAACGCGGATATTAGGAATACATTACACGCTATTGTAGGCTTAGCAGTACATTTTAGTGCATGAACCATGAGAAGAGAAATTCTAGACTGTTTTGGTTGCCAAAACTGAGCATTTCCAAAGCTTTATCTTTTACTAGACAGATAAGTTTTTCAAACTCAGGCAGGGTGCATACACACTATGTTGGATGTGCAGCACTACAGAATGCTGAGGATGGTCCAACGGTGCTAGATGATCAGATTATCTCTGTGTTTTCTGGACTCTCAATAACAAGTTTCTGGGTTGAATAGAGTTGACCAATGGTAACCTGAAATAAAACAAAAAATATTTCAGAAATGACAGGCTTGGAGGGCCAATGGGGCATTGCTTCAGCTCTGTAAGGGAAGTAAAAATGCACAACTGAGAACAAAAGTGAAAGTAGGCAGTCTGTATTCTTTCCGCAACATTGTTCGTCAGCATCAACCCAGCCAGCAAAAAATGATAATGCATAAAATAGCCACATACTTAAATTCTCAACACAGTATTGACAATGTAAGGAAAAAGAATATGCATATATATATATATATATATATATACACACACACACACACAATAACTACAGAGAAAGGAAATGCAAAATATACTTAGACAAATAGAAGGGAACATTATAAGAATTTTTTTGGGTGGAGACTAATGCACAGTAGTTTGTTTATCCCTTTGGTATTCACAAATTAATTTGCCTTAAAATTAGTTGAGGGGGATAGGGTCCCCTGCACAATTTGTACATCAGTAACATATAATGGGTAGAAATAGCTTCTTGTTCATAACATGCTGTTCATAACATGCTATTCATACCCAGGATCTCTGTGCTTTATAGTTAAGTAGTAAAACATTACAGACAATGCTAAATTGATTTTCGGGGGGGGGGAACGGGACTTTGTCCATCTGCCACTCACCCATAGCTCTCACCACACCCCTCTTCTGCAACATAGCATCCACCCTCCTCCTCCTCTTTCCCCCATCCTTGTTAACATCATCCTACTAGTATTCCTACCTGCTCCTTCCAGATTGCTCCCTATTCCCAGTGACCCCATCCCCTGATCTCTCTCGCACCCACTCTCATCTCCTCCCTTACTGTTCTCCATAACCTCCCCCCTCCTCTAGCTTTTCCCTCTCAATACAAACACACTTTAATTTCTCTCATCTGAATAAAAACACTCCTTGACCCCATTTGCTTCTCTAACTACAACCCCATCTCCAAGCTCATTGAATGTGCTGTTTACAATCACTGCTTGGAGTAGTTCTCCTCTAATTCCATCCTAGACTCTCTCCATTCCATCCTCCACCCCTTGCACTCCACTGAAATCACTTTAGACAAAGTCTCCAATTACCTCTTCCTAGCCAAATCTCAGAACCAGTTCTCCATCCTCATCCTCCTTAACTTGTCTGCCACCTCTGACACAGTCATCCATGGTCATCATCTTGAAATCTCATCCTCCCTTGGTTTCTGTGATTTTGTTCTCTTCTAGTTCTCCTACCTCTCTAATCACTCATTCAGTATGTCCGAGGGAGGACTGTCCCTCCTCCAACTTTCTGTGTGATTCCGCAGGGCTCTGTCCTGGGTTCCCTTTCTCTTCTCCCTCTGCCATTATCTCTTGGTGATCTTATCCATAAACACAAATTCAACTATTTTCTCTATACTGACAACTCACAGATCTTTCTCTCTCTCGTCCTGTCCAAAATAAAATCTTGGCCTATTCCTCTGACATCTCCATATGGATGTCTAGTGGTCAGCTCAAGCGCCACATGGCTAAAACCGAGCTCTTAATTATCCCCCCTAGTTCTTCTCTGCTTCCTCTAACACAACAGACAACACTACCATCTTGCCTGTCACTCAGGCCAGTAACCTGGGTGTCATCTTTGACTAGGACCTCTCTCTGGGTCCTCACTTCTAGACTATGTCTAAATCTTGTTGATTCTGTCTGCGTAAGATCTCTAAAATACAGCCTTCCCTATCCAAATGACAAATGCAGCCATGCCCTGCTTATATCCATTAAAAAAGTTGCTGCAATGATCATTTTCCTAGCCTGTCGCTTTGACTCCTTTGCATCACTCCACTGACCCCTCTTCTCTATTGCATCAAACACAAGCTACTTGTCATCACTTTCAAGGCCCTTCATGGCCTATCCCCACCCCTCCCTATCATCTCTCATTCACTACTGAGATGTCAACTCTCACCTGTGACTGGCCCAGAGTGCCAGCCTCCATCACCCACTTGTTAAATTCTTGAGCATGCTTTCTCCCATGCTGCCCCTTATGTTTGGAAGGAGCTCCCTCCCCCCATCAGCAAAGCTAACATTATCCTCCTTCAAACCCCATGTTGCCATGATGCCTACACAATTAGGCTGTTGGTATACTGAGACCACTGCCTGTTAATATTGTTTGTTTCCTTGTACTCTCCTGTATGTCTGCATCCATATGTTGTCTTGTCTCATTCTTAGACTGTAAGCTCTTTGGGTGCAGGGTGTGTTTGTACAGCACCTAGCACAGTGGGTTCATGGTCCACGAATAGGACTCCTAGCCGCTACAGTAATCCAAATAATAAACTTTCTCCCTATTGTTTTATGTGTTAATTACCTTTGAGCTTGCTTTATAAACTCTGCATACAGTCCCAGTGAATCACAGCCACCAGTGGGACAGAGGGTAGCAACCAACTGACATACAGAACAGTTAAGGGGTAGAGGAAGTTTAGGCTAAAGAAAGCAGCAGAGGCCAAGATTCTTTTTAAAAGGAGTTTACAGTTTGGCTTCTAAATCCATATTCAGCCAACTAAATAAGTGTCCTGGTTTTCATAAGACAGGACACCCATTCGCTCCCATTGAACTATTAACGTAGGGGGAAAAAAAAAAAGCTCAGCTTGTGGTTACTGAAGTAGGACGAAAAAGATGGCATAATTTATAAACACCATTTACACCTATGTAGAGGGTATTACATAGAATCTGATATATTACAAAGTATAATTGACTGCATTACTTGTGACAGTGCCTCAATGCAGCATGAATCTAAAGAGCAATATAAAAGTCAAAGTTCAACGTTTTAAACTTGTATTAGCTTACTTAAAAAAGAAAAAGCTAGCAGCTATTAAGTTATATTTTGCTATCCACTCCCCATACTGTCACAAATGCATCTTTGCATACATGTTGCCCTTCTAAAAAATGAACAGTCTCCTCTTGATAGATAGCCTGGTCTGAAACTTGTAAAGCACTGGATTTTAGACTGACTATTCACTGAAGGGAAGATTAATGTGTTGTTCTTAAAGGAATAGCAGCACTTCTCGCCAGCAAACATTCCACTCCCTTAGCATACAGAATTAAGTCAACAAAAGCCCATGAACAACACTGATTAACAGGGAGTAGATGTGGTATATAGAGTATATGAAAAGAGAAACCGATTACGCAATTTAGGAAAAGCCATATTATTTCACAAAATGAAAGAAAAATTAGACCCCTAACAAATGTAACTTATATCAGGCAGACCACGCAACATGTGAGTTATGTGGCAGGCTGCAGAGTAGTAATTATTGCTATATTATAAACCATGCCATGACATTTAACTAAATTAATATAGTTGAATATTTTAGGCCAAAATGTTCAGACTTGAGGGGTCTAAAATTAGGCTCTGAAATCTATATTCAGGCTCTCACCTAAGTGGCCTGTTTTTTGGCAGCTCCTGCTGATTTACAATGTGCTTATCAGCATGAAATTAAATACCTAACAAGCCTTAAAAAAATGTTTTGCAACTAACATATCTGTCCTGGAAGAAAGGAGAGTCCTACACTTGACCAGAGCTCAAAGAGCCGGGAATTCTACATGAACTCAATGTTGTTCATTGGCAGCCATCCAGCACAACAGGCAGTCCAACAAAGTTGGTCCAATGAAAGATATTATCTCACCTACCTTGTCACCTTGCACAACAGGGGAATTTTAAAGTTCTAGGACAGTATAAAGAATCTGTTTTCTTACTTACATCAATTTTGGGGAATGGAGATTTCATCCTGCCATGAAGAAAAGCAAGGGGGATGAATTCCCAGCTGATCCGTGCTGCAATTTCAGCTTTGGAGGCCTCCTCAGTTGACATAAATCCCCCCACTAACTTCAGCCTTCCCTCCACTTTGCTGAATCAGGTTTTCAAGAGGCAGCACTTACTGCTATGTCAGTGACTTCTACCAGATGGTTCAATTCAGCTTTGTAAGAGATGTTTGGTTTTAAAGTAGCGGCCTGGGGAGCTTTAAATATTAACATTTGTGTTTGTATCACTTGGAGGTGGGGGAAGGGGAAGAGAGAATGGACTGTTAAATCCCAACCAAATCTACAGTAGATGTTTTTGAGGTTAGTTAAATAAACTGGAGAAGAATTTCTCATTATAGCTTGGTCACAGGTTCAGCCATTACAACTTATTTTTTAAACTGTCAACAGATCACTCATTTTCTGTTCTGGTTTTGAGATGAGATTTGCTGTCTCTCTGAGCTCATATCTAAAACCTTGCACTGCATTTTTAAAATAATCTCTGTATGCTGTCATGGATTTAAAGGCTCTTATTATATACAAGGCAAAGTTTGTTTTTTCCCTCTCAAAAAGGTTAATTCCTCTTCTGCAGGTGTCTTATATTTGGATACCAGGCCCTCCTCTTCCCTCATTTTATTAGAGGACTTTGTCAAGATCTTTGTACAATCTGGATGGCGATGTCCCAAGGCTGAACTGCAGTTTTTCCTTTGTTTCAAAGGAAGAGGCAGGGGAGGTTGAACGTCTGACTACTGAGTCAGGCAAACATCTAAGGTCTTGGCCACGTGGAGCATATTCTGTTTCCAGCATTCACTGGCCAGCCGTGCATGTAACTGCACTGGTGAAAACCTCTTATGTAGAGATGGGAAGTTGTGATATTCACTGGCACCCCAGAGGACTGCCACTGTAGCATGTTGTGGCTTCCTTTGCTTACACTAGGGATTCGTACTGGTGGTGCTATTCTGGTGGCTAGCAACTCAGGAAAATACCCAATGTATACATGACCTAAGATTCAATATTCCCCTTCTACTCTCTTGGGGAATAAGAAAGCTAATAAATTAAAGCTTAAAAAAATTCACTAAAAAGTTAAAAAACAATATTTCTGCTAAGCAGAGCTCTTCTACCTGCTAGAGCCTGGAAGTGAAGTAGTGTGTTCAGGCAGGGCAGGCTTCTTTGCAGGAGGAGAATGTCAAAAATGTAGTTCTTTTCTGTTCACCTGTGGTAAGAGGTTATCTTATCCACTGTTGGAATGGCTGATTTGGATATA